ACAAGAGCATAACATGGGGGGCTAGGAACACTAGAAACAACACAATTTCAATGATTTCCAATCATCATTTTTGTAATTGTAGCACATAAGTGTCATTATTTGGGGACTATGATGTGTTTAATGTAACATGTACTCTTCATAATTATGATAGCCTATGATGCTCTGTGCTCTAAGAAATCAGAATTCTTGGTGTGGGTCTATGTAGATATGGAAGTGTTAGAAAAGAGGTTAAGTAAATAAAAGTAGTAGCACACAATTTAAAAAATCTGAACTGAATTGAATGAACAGTGTCTGTTAAGTACTGGGCTGCTAACTGAAAGGTTGGCAGTTTGTACCCAACAGCTACTCTGTGAGAGAACGATGTAGCATTTGACTTCCACAACGATTTACAGCCTGGGAAACCCCATGGGGCAGTTCCCTTCTGTGCTTTAAAACTGTTATGCACCTGTGTGGACTGACTCTGAAGTCTGGTGACTTTGGGTGCTGACTCATGAAGTGTCATTAAAAATATACACATGCTCATTTAAAAAAACCAATGAAGAGGTCATAGAAGTTCCTCAAAGGCTAAGAAGAAGCATGAAGTGATATTTATACAGCACTATATTATATGTACACCATATTATCAGGTACACATATTATATATTATAAGACATCCACAGCTGATCTGAAGTAAACGGCTCAATGGAAATGCTGTGCAGTTTCATGTGGCGGACTTGAGCATACTCCGTATCTGGTACCCACGGGGGTGCTGGAAACAGTAACCTTTGGATACACAGGGACAGCTGTCATTGGAAAACATGAGTTTACACTGATATGAAAAATAAAACTTTAACTGGTCACTTTCAAAGTAAGATAGGACATCAATTGTTTATCTTGAAAATTGGTAGATAAAGAGAAATAATTAGGCATTTCTTTTCCTTTTGCTATTGTACCACTGGCAATCAAGTGAGAGGCGAGAAAGCACAGCTTTACACAGAGGACTGAAAAGAAATGCTAACTTCACAAATTACATTTTGCAACCCCAATGATGAATGGATTCAAAGACAATAAGCAACACTACTAACACTGCCAAGAGAGAGATGAAGCTATTTTGTCCCTGCCAATACATCCCATGGCTTCCTTCCTTTCCTGACTCTCTGTTCCCGTTTCTCCAGGAAAACACTGGCCTATCGCTGTGTCCCAGATGCCTAATTGTAAAGTTTTAAGACCTCGGGTTCTAGGAAATGAACTAGGAGATAGAACAGAAGCATTAAACACATTATTATGGGATGTTCCACCAAACTAAACAACAACAACAACAAAACCCAAATCTCCTGAGGTTGCTGGTGGTGTCTAAGTGGACCCAGCAGCTACTCCTTTTGGTGGTTGTCCTGGTGACTCCTGTCCTTGGTTGCTGGTGACCACTAACATGCTTTTTCTTTCTCTGTACATTTGCCTTTCCTTACCTGTTTAGATAAGTGGGCTTATTCAATATGTGTCCTTTTATGATCGTCTTACTTCACTCAGTACAAGGTCTTCTAGTCCCTCATACTGTAGTAGGTATCAATTGTCTTGATACCTATTGATTGAGTAGCATTCCACTGTATGTATGCACATTCATCTGGTGATTGGCATTTAGGTACATGATAAGAATAGCACACACTCATTCACACACACACCTTCACAACACAAAGACAAACAGCCCAATCATAAAATGGACAAAAGATGAGACCCCTCCAATAGCCGCAAACACATGAACTTCTAGAAGCTCCAGGTCATTAACCAACAGAGAGATGCAAATCAAAACCACTGTGAAATACTATTTCACTCCCACTAGCACGGCTAAGATCAAAATGAAACCAAAAGCAACTGACATTGACAAAGGATGTGTGGAAACTGAGGACTTTGTATATTAATGATGGAATGCAAAATGGTTACAAGCCACAGTGGAAAACAGATGGTTTCTCAAAACACTAAGAATATGGCCCAGCAATTCCACCCCTAGGTCTGTATTCAATCCACATCGATTGGTGGGGGATCTGAACTGCTGAGTTTGTGGTTAGCAGCCCAACGTGTAACCAACTGTGCCAAAAGGCTACCAAAATTTGGACGGCCTTTGCCAGGAAACCCATTTCCTGTTTCTCAAGCATGAACACAATACTGATCACAGTAATGATTGAAAAAAAGGCATGTTCAAAATAAGTTGATAATTTAGAAAAATGAGACAATGGTTATTAATATCAACAAATGTACAGGGGGAACCCCATATACATATATAAATAATAGTACATATATAAATAACAATAAAAAACCTTTTACACAAAAACTTGCCTATGCTAATCTGAAATCCATATATATATGTGTGTGTGTGTGTGTGTATACATATATATATATATCTTCCTTAAATATTAAAAAAATGGCTAGGAACTTTTTTAGGCTGTTTATAAACAGCATAAGACCTCTGGCAGCACTGTCAGGAAAGGAATGCAAACCACAAAGTCAGCAGTTCAAACCCACAAGCCACCCCATGGGAAAAAGATGAGGTTGTCTGCTCCCATAAAGATTTATAGCCTTAGAAATCCTTAACAAGGCCGATTTTTGAGCAACATTTTAATATTTTCATATTGATGTGTTTGAACATCTAAGAAACTTACATTGGATCATAACTGAATAAACAAATTTATTGCTGTCTTCCAAATAATGGCTGAAAAGAATGAGGACGATATTGACAGTATCAGAGAAAGTGACTGTCTACAGGATTGATTCCAAGCTGCAACAGCAGGGAGATCGGTGGGTGACTGGAAGAGAGGCCACATTTAAGCAAAATATAGAAGAAGTGGCAACTCTTTGACACTAAGAAAGATGGCATTACTTACTTTTCCTGTGGTATGGACTCCATTTATTAATCTGGGTTTTATGTTAGCATCATCAACAGAAAAAAATTATGATGTGGAGAAATTTTCCATGAAAGAGCAAGGCTACTCAACTAAGTACTAAGATGAGAGAAAAGGGGGACATTTGTTCAAGACTTCTGACTTAAAACAAGAAAAAGATATGATCTTGTTCTGAAATAAAAATTTTCTATTCACCAGCCACTGCTCTGAAATAGGTCAGTGCCTTCCCTAAACAGCAGTTTGTGTGGTTAGATCTTTTTCCATCAAAAATATTAATAATTATCCCTCTGAACAACAAAGAGAAACAAATGCTGCTCCTAATTAATTCAGGCGTACAATACATATTCATAAAGTTGACAGCTAACATCCAAAAGGTTTTGATAAAGTTTTGGCATTACTCAGCAATTCATGAGTAGTTAGTGGATTTTAAAAAGCAATTTGGGACGAAAGGTGCATGCAAAAAAAATTTTTTTTAAGCAGAAAACTAGCTGCTACAAATGCTTTAACTTAGAATCGTTTTATGATCACCTCTAACAGACAATTCTCCTTGAAGTAGGGTGCAAACCTTTCTCTAACTATGAGTGCTGCTAGGAAAACAGGAAGTTCATACAAACTAGAGCACTCACAGAAAATTCCTATCCATGTCCCACACTGGTCTTCTAGGAAGCAGGAGAAGGGGGTCTTGGGCTATGGGACAACAATGCCATTTTTCATAAGCAATCATATTTCACATCTGCAAATGTGGGGGGTAATGAAGAAGGGTAAATGGCTTGGTGGGGTTATGGTCCCAATTAAAAGCCTGAAATGCTAAACTCCATTATAAAGACAAATAGGAAAGTACAACTTCATTGTTGAAAACAATTTCCCTCCTATCAGTCCAAGGATTCATGCATCAATATTGTAGATGAACTGTTAATTACAAAATCAATTAAAAATTTTTTCTAAAAACAGTCACGCACCCCTGGCTCTCATGGGGGCAATTTGGGCAGAAGGTCTCATCTCACTAGGCCCGTACCAAATCACAAAGTCGTCATCCACAAGTAAGCAAAAGCAATCTGGTTTTTCATTTTTCAGCGCGGCTGAGCCCAGCCTGAGATTGATCGTCACATATGGCCCCAGAAAACAAACTGTCAATACCTTGAATGCTGCAGAATTTGAACAAATAGCCGTCCGCCCATTCAAGCCACTCATTGCATCCCATTTAACAGATTTTATTGACAGTTTCCTTCTTGTAATTAAAGGGAAAACTACTGGCCGGCAACCAAGATAAAGTTCAAAGATAGGGTCAAAACAAAAGCAGATGGAGGGGCGCGGTGTGACTGTCAATGGTACACAGCATCAGAGCAGGTTATTGACACGCAGGTACCTAATGATCGGCACGTCATTAAGGAGGATCTATCCTGAACTTTATGCAAATACTAAGAGAGACCTAAGACCACAATAAAGCATTAGGAGAGGCACAAAGGGGCAGAACAACAAAGCCCCAACGATTTCTACTTCTCTGAGGTTGCTTCCTACTTTATTTAGCACATCTCTGCTCAAATACAGAGAAAATGCATTCCCATAATTCTTAACCTTTACTGCACGCACAGCGCTCTTTGAGAGAAATACTCCCTCCAGCAAAAATTTACTTCTGGAGAATTCCAGAATGCAAGAAAGCATAGCACTCTTTGATAACCAAAATTAATGACCACACTTAAATGTATTTTCCCAATTGCGTAATTAGCATCATTGAGGGGAGAGCGGTTTTGTGTGGATTCATAATTCACACTCATTCTAACTTCTGCATGAAACACAGTGGTGCTCATTTTGTCCTGAGAACATTCTTAGTGCTTCTCTGACAAGAGTCTGCTTTGCTGTGTGGTCCAAATTAGCCAATGCATTAAGTGCTGGAAGACTCTGGCCTGTAACTAGCAAGTACAATACAAATAATTTGCTTCACATAGGTTTTTCTTAGATTTCGCTTTTCACGAGGAAGGTAAAATGATGATCATTTAGCTGACACTTACAGGGTTTAGAAAGTGGGTCTTAGCAAATCCCTGAAGCAGCAGCAGTGAAGGAAAGGGGTAAAACTTGACATATTAAAAAAAAAGCTATATGTAACAACAACCATGTCAACATGCTGACCTGAATTAGCCAGAGCTATAGCTTTGAGGGTGACAAATTCTTCTTTCTCCAGCTTCATGCTCTTGTATTTCTTTACCAGCTGCAGGATAGCATTATTGAGGTCAAGCAGGCCTGCTAATTTGGACTGGTCTTCGTCCATTATATAATCGTCTGCATAGACAAGTTCATCCTCGAACGAAAGGGATCGGTATACGACACCGAGGATCAAAATCTCCATCCAAGCACTCTGCAGAAGGCTCATCTGGTCCGCCAGGGACAAAGTGGAGAAGCCTGCACGGGAAAATGGGCAGATCAAGTTACGTCAAAGCCATAATTCCATAATGCAACATTAGTTTCATATGGTCTTTGGCTTCTGCATCAGTGCTCAAAATTCTGCTGAGCTTTGATTAGAAGCTCTTAAAGTTTTCCCTGATCACTTTGCAAATGACAGGGGAAAAGTCACAACCCAGCTTCTGTCAGTTGGTGTTCCCTGTGGGTTCTCTGAGGGGAGAATTACCAAAGCGTTCTTGGAGAAGAAAATACCAGGTCATCTAAAACTACACCTGACTTCTGGCTGAAGTCTTTGTAAGTCCTTCTAGGGCACCAGATGTTCAGTGACCATGACCAGAAACACTGAAATTGTTAAGACAAAAGTAATGGAAAATTCAAACACAAAGAAAGTAATTCAGGCAGCAGTGAGGGGCAAGTGCTCTTACATTAAAAACCATCAACTTATTTGGATATTTGTGCCCTGATGATACTTACTGTGTATTCCTTTTTAAACAAACTATGACTGTGAAACAAAGTGGACTACAGAACAGCCAGCTCTTCCTACCAGTCAGAAAAGCGGCCATTCATTCTTGTTTCTGTTGTTCGGTGACGTCAAGTGCATTAGACTCATCGTGGCCCAGGTCACAGGTAGAAGAGTCCCGTGGGCTTTCCTAGGAACTTTAGTGACACAGTGGTGAAAGTTTAGTTAGGCCAGCTGCTAACTAAAAGGTCAGTGGTTCAAACCCCACAACCATTGCTTGGGAGAAAGATGAGGGAGCCCACGCCCATAAAGAGTTTCAGCCTTGGAAACCCTGTGGGGGCAAATCTACTATGTCCTGCAGGGTCACTGAATTGGAATCTACTTGAAAGCAAAGGGTTTGTAATCAATACAGAAGCAGATTGTCAGATCTGTCCTGCACAGTTGTTGTGATGTTTGAGCCACTCACCTTCTGTGAGCAGCCCAGGGCTGACTGAACGGCTATCCCACCAGGACTGCTCAGGCTTGGTTTGAAGAGAAAAGAGAGTTGTACTATTCAATGCCCAGGCAATGGGAGTTAGTGGGAAGGAAGTGGAACAGAGTCAAATGCTGAAGGTAAATATTGGCTCCCCTGAGCTATTGTGTGTTTCCTCCGAGCAAGACGATTTCCTTGTACCTTCAGTTTTGCATTTGGCAACTTATAAAATAATGCCTACTGAAAATGGATTTATAACACAGACCCCCAATGGTAGCCATATGATACAGTATTTGTCTCTGAAGTAGTTGTGTGGTTGGTTCAATTCTTTACTGCGAACCAAGACTGCCTTCACATGTGCTAAACCACTTTGAGCTTGGAAGAACAGAGCAAGAAACAAGAAGAAACTGTTCTCCACAGGAAAGAGTGAAGTAATACAATTAAACCTATGTAAAATTTAAGGTCTCATTCATTTATACCACATAGCAACGAATCCTAGATTCTAAAAACAAATCAATGAAGATATCTCATTATCAACCTGATATTTCCCCCTTCACAAGAACCCTAAAAAAATGTTATCTCTCTCTCTCTCTCTCTCTCACACACACACACACACACACACACACACACACCATCACACACACACACACACACCATCCACTTCCAAGGGCAGATGAAGGACTCCCAAGTGCTGTGGCACCCTTACATCATTTTTGAAGAGAATGGAACTATAATTTAAGGTCCTGCCAAGAGCAGTGCTATGGAAGTGCAGGAAATTTTTAATGAATCAACTTAAGGAATCTAACTGTACTGATTGATACTCACTTTATTCTGGCAAACCATTGCCCCAACTACAATATAAAAACCTACTGGCGGTCCGACCTCCTCAGACAAGGAGATCATTTCCTATCCTGTTGGTGACACCCAGTGCTTTGCTGTCTGGGCGACAGTAATGATGAGTCCTTAATAAAATCATCAAAAGGGATTAGTGCAGCTTTCCTTAAGGGGGCTCTCAGGGCTCGTGGGCAACAACTCTTCATTGTTTGTCAAGTCGTTTACATGTTCCTTGACAGGGCTTCTTTTGAACTGGCTGTCTCCTTTCTTTTCCTCATTTTTCCTTTAGGAGTGGATATTTCGGATTCCACGAACAAATCAACCCCGTCTTATTAGCGAGAGAGCAGCTAATAACATTGCATACACGGACACAGGCAGGGATACTGACCTAACCTGAGCAGCCTTGACTTTCGCTATTGGGAATGCTCCACCCCCCCCAAAACAAAAACACAAGCAAATCTAACAAACAAACGCACAAAGGAAAAAAGAGAAAATAATCCTGATTGCTCCCCGCCCTCCCCGATTTCTCTTCCCAAAAGGAAGATGCAACGCAAATCCAAATACGGGATTAAAAAAATAAATTAAGAAAAGCAAGATGGGGTTCCTTCGGAGAGACTCTTTTGTCATTGGAATAGATGTAACAGGCCAGGATCACCTGGACTGCTGAGTGCAGAAAGGGTGGTGTGTTTTACTGCTGCACCTTGGTCTCTGTTTCATCCGGCTCCTCCAGCGGCAGTCGTTCTGCGGCGGCAGATGGGCAGAGCCTGTAGCCCCCAGCAGTTCCCAGCGACAGCCCTCTTCTCCCTCCCAGACACTGCTGTTAGTAAATAGATTTACACATTCTCCAATCTCCACACATCTTTCTGCCGAATAATTAAAAGCAGGATGATTAGTTTATTGAGTGGAAGGAGGAACTTTTTTATTGAGGTCCATCCACGATTTTATCAGGGCCAGCACTTTTACGGGTGTCAGGAGGGTGCAGGCATCCAATTTTTCTTATCTGCCTGATTAATACAAACGCTGTTTCAGGACGCATTAATTAACAGATACAAATCTACGTTCTCATGGAAGGATCAATACGGAGAAGAAAAGAGGCATCAATGTGAATTTAGTGCTGATGATGGAGAAGGCACTCTATCGACAGTTACGTGCACGGAAACTTTAAAGTTGCTCTGGGCCCCCTTTGTCCTGTGATTTACAAATTAACAATTTTTCAGCCATAACAATGTTGCACGCATTTTCTTTGGGGTTTAATTAAGCAGAAAAGCAATGCTATTCCATTTTTCAGTTTGTGCCTACAATCTGTTTCTTCACTGTCACTGGTTGTGTGGGCCTGTTTACCCTTCCTCCAACTCTCTTGTTCCTTTCTCTGTTCATTTCCTCCCCTTCTTTTTGAAAGGCAAAGGCAAAGAAAACATCTCTCGCTCTTCCCTTTTGCTTTGTTTTGGGGGGAGGTGGGTGGGATGGTTGGGCAGTGTGGGGCCACGGAGACAGCTCCAAAGCCTTGGGCACGTTTGCCTGCTCTGTGGACATCACTTCAGCAATCCAAGAAGTGTCCTTTCACAATATCACAGGAAGCAGGACAAAGATACTGTGCAAAATATGAGACCAGTCTGGGCTTACACCTTTACTTGGCTCTTTAAATAGCTGGATTTCCTAGCTATGGAACATATTCCGAATAACTTCTGAGATCCCGAGTGCGGGACCAAGAATTCCCCTGACCCAAAACAAGCACGACTTGGGGTTGGGGCCATTTAGGAGATGCTTGCCAGCACATGTGACAAAGAGCAACTGCTGGTATTGAAAGCGCTGATCTTTAGGACCAACACTGAGGTGCAGCACGCTTCCCTGGGAGCAGTCAGGCGGCTTTGTTATGAGGCTGCTGTGCTCACCTGGTGACTATAATGGAGAGTAGATTTTTAATGCCATGGAATTCTTCTACCTGCCTTTTTGGAACGCTAGCTACATCTCACATCTCCAAAGACAAATGGACTAAATAATACTTTTTATCAATAAACCTGAGCATAGTATAAAAGCCTAAATGGCAAGGCCTACATGAAAATAAACGCAAGTCTTAAGAAGCGGCACGGAAAGGATTTTCTAAAAGCCCGGCTGCTCATTTGGCGCCAAGAGACATGTATCCAAATGATAATGACTTGTTTGTGAATTTTCGGGGCATACAGAGCGTTGTCTCACCACTAGGCCACAAGGAGGGAGAGCCTCGTCATCTGTAGCATCTAGCGAGCGCTCTTTGGAGGAAACCTCTTTGCCAAGTGAAATAAAATGTGCTTCGCAGTCGAGTTGCTTGAACTTCACATATTTGTGTAGCCCTGTATCTTCATCTTCGGTGTGTGACAGGTTATGGTTTTAAAGGTTCAGTCATATTACAGCTTTAAAAACATACACTGAGACCACGGCATACTTTTGTCACCCCCCTCACCCCACCCCCCTCCCAGGCCCATTCCATGCATATCACTGACAACTCTATGTCTCTTCATCTCCGTCTGGGAGTCACGGCCATTTACTGTATCTCGGGCATTCTCCTGGCAGAATGACTCTCTACTTTGACCCACAGTTAAATAGCATGTTTATCTGCAATACAGCGTGCTCTAAATAAACCACATGACAGTTGGGAATAACATCATTTGGAAGGATTGAAAGCTTCTCAAGAGGCAGGCACCCCTGAGGTAACCAGCTTGAAGCAAGCCTGTTTTGTGCCAACTCTCTTGCCCTCCTCTCCTGGAGACTTAGGACGCTGACACTGGGGCCGTGGGCACTTGTCATGCTTTTTTTTTTTCTTTTTCTCTTTCAGCCTGGCAAACGGATGCACTTTGCAGTTGACTTACAAAAAAGACTAAGCATTTGAAAGTGTGAAGGGCAAAATATATCTGACGGCTAGTCTTCAAAAATACACTTTCATTTCAGAAAGCATAAATGTTGATTTCCTGAACGAGTGTTGACAGAAATAGGCTGCAGTGCAGGCATTTAGGTTTAACCCCTGTGAGGCATTTGCTCCTCTGCCGGTCCCCTGAACCACAGAGCAAGCATCTCAAATCTTCCGGGTGTCTGTTAAAATCAGTTAATCATGGCATTGATTTGCCCGCTCACAGATTTTTGAACAGGAGTTTCTCTGTTCCACTAAACATCGATGCTTTGCCACAAATAGCGCATCATACTAGAACTGTAATCATGCCATGACAACTAGCGGTGATCACAAACGAAGTGCACTGTGAG